GGCTGCTTCAAGATGGGCACCAGCCAGTATTCAGCAAGGTGTTCAACGAATTCAAGGTATCTTTCGAAGAAATGTCGTCTTTGCAGGTTAAAGAGATTATTATTTTCTGAAACAAGGAAGTCATCCAGTGCTTTCTCCTTGGCTTGGCTTTTTCTTGAGATTAAAGTCTTTTTTAGTCTGCTTATAGAAGGAGAGTGCTTCTTGCATTGCTTCTTGGAGGTAAATGGGTGGCAGTCTCTGAAACTATTGCTTCCTTTCTCTTTGTCTATTTGACACATTTCATTTGTCAACCTCTGTCCAAATTGTATCATCCAAACTGAGTAAAATTAACTCTTCCTTACTTGACATTTGAAGTGGTATTGCTTAGACAGGTTCAGTGGACTTGTTGAGACTGGACTGCAATTGCCCTTCAGACAGTCACCTTTCCTGATGTTTCTTTCCAATGCTACTGCCTCCCCACACACATTATGTTCATATAGTTTTATGGGAAGGCATCAATACAGCAGTTGTTCTCCTCCCAGCTTAAGCTATTTCTTCCCATTGGTCAGACCACTTTCCCAACTTGCTAGCTTCCGGATATGTTCCATTTCAAGTGTCCAGTGCTTAAGGATGTGGAAACCCAACACATCTGAAAGTGGCTATTTCCCTATTATATGTCAGCAGGGCCAAATTAAAACTGCAGCACTCTTGGTGTATGCTAATGAATTTCCACACCTTCCTCCATAAATAAAGGACCTGTTTACAATCTCAGGTACTACCTTAAGCTTCTTATTGTTAACTCTTACTGCTCCTTACTGTGCGCTTCCTTCAACTGTGACTCTAGGTCATACGCACCCCCTTCTTAAGTAGAGACTAATGAAAACTATGACCATCCAATCATACTAGTTGTATTTAAACCAAATGTCTTCTTCTATTGGAAGTATGTACTTTCTTAACATGCCATGAAAGTTTTAATTCATGCTTTAACCACAATTTTTGAGTCACATTCATCTTTCCTTAAGAGCGTTATATAAAAAAGCAGTTGAATAGGTGAGTCCAGCAGCTAGGAACATAAAATCTGAAGTTTTTTTTTTTTTTTTTTTAGAAGCTAGCTACCTTGGATATCTGCTGAAACATCTGTATGTGTTTCAAACATGCTCTTTAGTGCCAGGGTCTAAAAGACACAAACGTATATCCCACAGATATATTACACAAAGACATACATATTTCCAACAGAAGAAGACATTTGGTTTAAATACAACTAGTATGATTTGGATGGTCATAGTTTTCATTAGGATCTAAAGTGAATCAGAATCCATAGACAACTGGGTGATTTTGTGTGTGTGTGTGTGTGTGTGTGTGTGTGTGTGTGTGTGTAGATGTAATGGCCACGGTTGGATTCGTTTTTGGTGTAAAAGTGCATGTATTGCTCTAACAAACCTGTGTTTCAGTTCCCACTTTTTTTTACAAATAGAAATTTGAATTTAGCCCAAAAGACAGCAAGAAGCCCAAATCAGGGATTTGAATCTGGATTTATCAAAATATTATCCACCCACTGTATACCACTGAGTGTTAATTGTATCATCATTTCTACTGCACTGGGATGCTTCCAGACAACACTCATCATTTTGGTACATTGGATTGAATGTTGGGCAAATGCACACTTTAAAACCTCCGTAATTTAGCTGTTAAAAGAATGGATCAGCTTTCTAACATACAGGATTAGGCTGGGGGTAGGAGGAGGGGCACGGGAGGCAGAGATAAATAAAGCTTAATGTGCTCCTAAGGAGTTACTCCCTTAAATAAGGGATGGATAACCTTTCCTGGCTGAGGACTATACTAATATTTTTTAGACAGCTGACACCCACAGAGGATAGGGCAGGGATCTCCAAAGTTGACAACTTTGAGACTTGTGGACTTCAACTCCCAGAATTTTCGGGCCAGCATGGTTGGCTGAGGAATTCTGGTAGTTGAAGTCCACAAGTCTTAAAGTTGCCAAGTTTGGAGACCTCTGGGATAGGGTCACCTCATACATAAGAGTGGGGCTAATTTTAGATCTTTTTAAATAAAGATATGCCCATTAAAAGTGCTAGGTACCTCAAAACGCTGGCCAACTCTGTCCTTGGCCATCTCAATGAGGGGGATTCCCACAAAGGGTTAGGAGGGTCACAGGTTATCCCATGCGGTACAAGAGGCAAAACCACTTGCTGCTTTTAAAATCTGCTGGGAGATGGCTATGGTTCCATAATGGGCAATGCCATTTCTGATGAGGGAAGGGCAGTAGAGTGAAGAAAGCAGAAGGAAGGAGATTAGATAGAACTGGATTTCACCTGGGGCCTGCTCTTAAAGATGACTTGATATGAGACCTTTAATGTCTAGGTCATTTGGAAAAAAAAATCTGGACAGAAGCAAAGCATCCTCTTGTGTCCAGCAAGCAAAAGGAGTTGGGATTTCCAGCAGAAGAAGGAGGACCCCTCAGGATGGAACACTAAGGAACCTTCTGCTCCGATCTTCCTTTTGGACCCTGTGCTTGTCTCTTCACCAGGGACACAAACCGATTCTAATGGGCTCTCCATCCAAGAAGGGCTTTTGTTTCAGCCCAGGAGGTTCCTGGTTCTCCAGATTTTGGATTGGGCTCCAATATGGGTAAAGTAAGGAGTCCCTTCACACAGTCACAGTCAAACTTTCTTTGATTTAATAGTTTCCTCTTAAACAGTGAAGTTTTTTTTTTTTAAATGATCCTAATTGTCCTTCGGAAAGATGGGGTGACTTCAGGACCCCAGCTCGATAAAATGAGGTGGTGGGATGTCCTCCCAACATAGCAGGGCTGGCTGACTATTAGCCACAGAAACAGCTCCTCTTGTATCGCGGTATTTATCAAGCTGTTTTCTTACTCACAATTTATATTCATACCAGACCATATAGGCAACACAGTGTTCTCCTCACCCTGGCTCCATCTTGTCTCCAGCATAGGATGTAAACTTTCTTGTTTCAGAACAACTAATTCTTCCTGCTTAAACTTATTGGGTCCTGCCAGGCAGAGTGAAAAATCATAGTTCTTTCCTATCCCTCTGGAGAAGGGAAGGCCAGATCTTGGGAAAATAATGAGCTTTCTCCCATAGATCATGGGAAGAGTGTGTATGTACAAGTCGCGTTGATTGGCCCTTGGTCTGAAAGCAGTGGCATTCAAGAGTGATGGCCAGGCATTTGGTTAGCATGGAGGATCACAGGATGGAAACCACCATCCAGTCAGCCTAATTTATGGTGGCCATTCTTTTTTTAGTGAGTTGGAGCCATCTATCCATATCAAAATGATAGCAGCTCTTCTCATTGCAGATCCCTATTTCTGCCTTGACTGCCTCAGTTCTCAGGGCCATTGTAGTCAATTAACTTCCTCCTAAGGTGGAAGGAGTGACAAAGCCTAACAGTGGACAGTGTTGGAATAAAGTATAAAGGAATAAAGAAGAAAAAGCTATTAAATACCAGCATAGCTAAGGACAACTTAAGCCCCTCTCACTTATGGACTAAGAATGAGATGAAGGTAACACCATAAGGAGACACAGCAAGCAATCTCAATGCTGCAGGGCATGTTTGTGCTGTGGTTAGGAACAGGGGGGACACCCATGAATGGTGTTTTTTTTTTAAATGCATTTTATTGATTTTACAATTAAAACAAACCAACAACACATACATAAATGAAAGAGAGAAAAAGAAGAAAGGGAGAAGAAAATAGAAAGAAAAAAATAGAAAACAATTAAAAACATCATGAATGGTGTTTTAAACCACTAGTAAGAAAATATGTTCAAGATACCCCGGCAGATTTCAAGAGGGAAGGCTGGAAAGAGTAGAGACCTAGGGAGGAAACAACATCCTCCCCTCTCCAAGCCTTCTTGGTTACGCATTCCGACGTGCGCTGCTACTGCAGGCAGGGTCTGGGATAAGAGCAAACCAGACAGAGCCAAAGTTCCCAGCTAGTTCAACATCACCTTTTCAATAGGGCTGACATGTATCTGGAAGGCTCATAGGTCGCCAAGGTGGTAAGGCGCTTCTCCTGCACCGCCCGCCGCCCTGTCTTGCTTTTGGAAGGGTCGGCTGCCTCGGGGCATAGCCGATCGATCCGGGCAAACAGTCCTCTCGGGAGAGCTCTCTCTCTCTCTCTCTCTCCCCCCTTCCAACCGCCCAGCCTCGGTTTCGTCTGTCAGCCGCCCGCTTTTCCGCACCAAAAGACGGGGCGTCTTGGCCACACTCGCTTTGTCCCCGAATTGCTGCGGTCGCCGTTGGCTGCCCAGGTGGAGCTCCACACCCGCCACGGGACTGGAGGGAGGCGGGGGGCCGGCAGCCAGCTGGCTTCTCGATTGTCCTTCGCCTCCAGCAAGTGCAAGCAGCCGCCAGCACCTCCCTTCACTGGCCGATGATGCGCGCTCTCTCGCGCGGTGGGGAGGATGATGAGAGAAGACAAGAGGGAGGCTAAGGCGGAGAAGGCGCTGAAGCGGCGGCGGGGCAAGGCCGGCGGTGGCCCCATTCGGGTTGTCCTTGGCCGAGCAAGCCCTCGCCCGTTCCTCTTCGATGCCCTCGCCAGGAACCTGTCCGACGTCGCCGGGAGGAGGGGGCAGTTTTGCGCTGGCCGGAGGCTGCGCTCGATCAAGAGGAGAAAAGGGGAGAAAGGCGGAGAGTCCGCTGGGATCCGAGAGCCATCCTTGAGCGCCAAAGCGCAGGCTGGGTCGCAAGGGCTGCTCTTTGGGTCAGGGCAAGCAGCCGGATCGGAGAAAGAGACGGGAAGAATAGGCTGAGAAGCGAGGGGAGGGGGGGGGACGACGACAGGCGACCGGGGGGCAGGCTTGTTTGCTGACGCTCGGAAGTTGCTGACAATCAAGCAGGACCTTCGCCGCTCCAGAGACCGAGCGCGAGGGAGTGAGACACACGCACACCCGCGCGCACGCACACACACACACACACATCCATCCCCAGACCAGGAGGAGGAGGAGAGAGTGGGGGGGGGGGGGGAGAGAAGAGGAGAGCTGATGTCTAAGGGAGTCACTCGGTGGAGGCAAAGCAGGCAGGCTTTCAACTTCTCCTCACTGCTGCTGAGCGCCAAGCGAGATCACTGGAAAGCGGCGGAGCTTCCCGGAGCAGGACCCTTCCCATGGCCAGCCTGCGGCGGGGGATTTGACGCCGTTCCCTTGAAGCCACTTGACCTACCTCCGCCGCTCCACCTCACTCAGCGATGTCTTATTCCCCGCTCTCCGCCTGCACTTGCCTGTAAGGATAGTGGCGTTCTCTCTCTCTCTCCCCCCCTCCCCGCCAAACTCCTGGCGTGCGCGCTTGCCTGCCTGCCTTTTTTTGCTTTCGCAAAGTCCCAGTTTGGGTGGTTCGGATCTGTTGCGGTGGCTGGAGTGGGGGGAGAAGGGCCGGGGGTGGGGGTGGGGGGCGGCGGCGCGGCGGTGGCTTTCCCCTGAGGAAAACAAAGCGGTCCGGCTCTCTGACGGTATTCCTCGCGACCGTTATAAACAAAGCCACCCCGCGTGGGTCGAAGTTTCGCCGTTTCACCTCGCCCTCTGATCTTTTTTTTTTTCTTCCCCTCACTCCTTTCTCCTCAGGTGGTTACATTACCTGCTGCTCTGCATCCAAGCCCAGGTAAGTGTCTTGTTTCCCCCTCCTCTTCCCCGCTCTGACTCTTCCTCCCCATCACCACCCACCACTCTTTCCGTTCCTCTGAGGCGCCGGCGTGGATTTGGGGCATAACCGAGGAGGCACCTTTCATAGAGAGCTACTACTGCTCCCTTGTAAAGGTCCCGGGCGTTTTGTATACTGTAGTCTGGGGGTTTAATTCTACCCTTGCTCTGCGGAGAAAACCGGCGGATAATCGCCTTGGCTCTGCAAAGCGGCGCCTCTCGCTCGCCGAACGTTTTTTTTTTTTTCCTTCTTCTTCTTCTTCTTCAGCTGGAGCCGCAAGTGTAAATCAAAGCACCTTCTCCGTTGTTTCCCCCCCCACCCCACCCCGGAGCCACTGCGCCCGGCCGCTCCTTCCCACACGGCTGCCGTCGCCTGGTGGACGGCAGGAGCCTCCTTGGGTAGCGAGCGCTTCTGCGGAGGGCCTGAGAGGCCGGCTAACGAGGTGAGAAGGAAAAGTTAGCCGCCGCCGCCGCCAACCTTGTGGAAAGTGCGGGCAGGAGCTTCTGTTCTGGGAGCCCCGGAGGAGGGAAGGAGGGAGGGAAGGGGCTTGCGTGCGGTTGCAGTTTTGGTCAGTCAGCTCAGCCTTGAAAGCGCAGGAGTTTCTTCCTCATAGCCGGACGTACGCGAGGGAGGGAGGGAGGGAGAGCGAGGGAGGGAAGGAGGGCGACCGACAATGGAATCGAATGGGCCAAGTTCCTCTCCCACCCCCCCACCCCCCATCCCACCCCAACCGTCGTTTCTTAAGAGAAAACCAGCCCGGATGCGGGAAGGAGGGAGGTGGGTCGGCGAGAGATAAGAGTGGAAAAAGAACTTAGAAGCGCCGCGTTACTCTCCGCGTATCCCTGTCCCTCGATACCTGGGAGGGACGTGAGGTGAGGAGAATCGTCATAATCAAAAGGATTTTTTTCCAGGACATTCCAAGATTTCGGCCGTGCTTTCTTTTTGGTGTGTGTGCGTGCGCGCGCGCGTGTGTGCGTGTGTCTCCTCACACAAACGGCTAGAAACGGAGATAAACGCAACACGTGCGAGCAGCCCCGCCCCGCGATCCGGACGGTCCCAGAGTTGGCAGAGCAGGTGCCTTGCGGCCCCCCCCCGCCCCCATCGCCCGGAGGCCTCCCCCGGCAGCCTTGCGACGCGGGTTCCCGCTCGAGTTGCTCTGGCGCAGCTCCGCCGGCCGCACCTTTTCCCAGCTCGCTGCTCCGACCTCCTTCCTTCGCGCCCGGAATGCACCTGTTTGCCAGGCTTTTCTCTCTCTCTCTCTCTCTCTCTTTGCGGGTCGTTGTTTTCCGCCTTAGGAAGGAAGGAGCTCAGCCCCCCGGGGTGGGTGAGGGGTGGCTGGCAGGGAAATCTTGAGTCATCTGGCGAGCCGTAGCCTTTTACCTTCCTTGGGGTGGCGGGGAAACCTCCCAAAAACAAACAAACCACGATGTAGGGGAAAAAAACCAACAACAACAACCCGGGAACGGGACTCTGAAGGGAAGGTGAGGGCGAAAGCGAGAGGGAGAAAAAAAGCGGGGGGGGGGGGGGGGGAAGCGGCAGAAAGCGACACTCCGAGCTTGGCTGGAAACGAGTTTGCGGTTGGAAGGAAAGGCGTTTGCGCGCGGCAAATGGGCGCACTTGGCAGGGGGAAGGAAAAAAAAAAAAAAGAGGAGCCCCCCCCTTTCCCCCTCCCTTCTTCTCTTTTTAATTTGTGCGGTAACTGAAGTTAATCCTCCCTCCTCCTTCGCCAACTTTTATCGGACCCCTCCTCTTGTCCACTCGTTGCTTTTAGTGAATCAGAAGGCTTTTGGCTGGTTGCCTGCAAAGCACTTGCTAAAATCTGATCTCTTACTTCAGCAGGAGCCTTAAAAAACTTGGGAAATTATTGGCATTTATACAGTTGGAGCTCTCAAGCCTTCCAAAGTAATAAAGTAATGAAAGGGAGGGGGGGAGAAGGGGGAGGAGAGAGAGAAACTCTCTGTACTTTCCTACTATTAGAACCATACTTTATTTAGTGCTGATTATGCAACATTCCGTGCATGGGAGATCTGACAGGCGGATTTACTCTGAAGAAATGAAAAGTCAGGCTTTTCCTTCTCTCTTCTCCTCCTCGGAGGGCAGAGCGCGCTGAAAGGGGATTGAGGTGGGGGAGGGAGGTCCGGATTCAAATTCTCATTGGACTTTGGAGTCTCTCCTGGGTGGGACGGGGTATTTTGAACCAATCCTTGTCTCTCAGTTCAATCTACTGGGTACTGGGAAGCTTAACAGAAGAACAGAATTGGAAGGGGTCCCGTGGAGGTCTTCTAGCCCAACCCCCTGCTGAAGCAGGAAACCCTATATATCATTTCAGACAAATGGTTCTCCAGTCTCTTCTTGCACCCACAACTTCTGGAGGCAAGCTTACTTTCCTGTCTAAGTAAAATAAACCTTACTTTTCTGAACTGCTCAAGTCTGTCAAGATTCTTCTGAATCTTGAGTATGTCTTCCAGAGAATTGGCAATTCTCCCCAGCTTGGCATCATCTGCAAATTTCTAGACCTTTAAATAGTTCATTTATGAACATCAACCAGAATAGAGCTGAAAGGGACCTTGGAGGTCTTCTAGTCCAGCCCTACAATGTCGGAGCACTTACATCTTCTGAAGGCAAGTCGTTCCACTGATTAGTTGTTCTAACTGTCAGAAAATTTCTCCTTAGTTCTAGACTGGTTCTCTCTTTGAGTAGTTTCCACCCACTGCTTCTTGTTCTGAGTTCGGGTGCTTTGGAGAATAAGTTGACCTCTTCTTTGTGACAGCCACTCAAATATTGGAACACTGCTAGTCCGTATTTTCATTAAATTAGACCTACCCAACTCCCGCAACCATTCTTCAATTGCCATTGGTTCCTGCAGAATAAGTGGGATGTAAACACGCAAAGAACCAGGTCAAGTTCAAGAAATAAAAACAAAAAGAAAGCTAGGGTGCCAAAGCAGCAATGACAGCAATCGAGGTTCTAGCCGGCGGCTTTCCTGCACTTCAGCCTTAGGTTAAAGAGGTGGGGAGGTGGAGATAGGAGAGGATAAGTCAGGTTCCTTGTACAAATCTTGAGTGCTGAGGCAGGACCTGGGAGGTCTAATCCTTGGGAAGGACTGTATTGTCAGTCAGTTGATCAAACAAAGAAATATGTGAGAAATGAGTTCCCCTCATTCATCTTCTGATCTTCTTGTCTTTCAATAGAGGCCTGTTATAATAGCTATTCCTTTACAAAGCCAAAACATTCTATTAGTTTTGCTCAGAAGCTTTGGTAGTTAATGTGGATTGTCTTAGTGAGACAATGAAAACACAGCTACATGGCTGCTGGTTGTGTTTTGTTTTTTTCAGCTTTGCAGTCTGGCTTTTCTGGGATTGATTTGATTTGGATGACTAGATTGGAGGTTGATGGAGAGATTGGAGTGGCTTTTGAGTACAGTGATTTTCTTGGGAAAAGGTTAGCATTTGATGACCTGACATTAAGACTATATTTAGATTTAAAACTATGACTTAGATTTATGTCAGGGACATTAAATTGTTGCTAAAAGGCCTATGTTGTATTAATACAGACAATTTGAGACTGTTTCCCAAAGGGCCAACAATAGTTTTATACTGGTTCCCATCAAACTATAGGAATTATGCCAGCAAAGCGAACCTGTTTAAGGAAAGGGTTTTATACAGTACATTACCTGGTATTTTCTTTTATTACACTGGGCTATCATATGATTCTTTACTTTGAGCTTGACAGCGTTGCATGAAGCCAGCTATTCAAGTTTGTAAAACATGGTTTCATTTTTGTGAACCCAAACAATTATGGTTTATTTATTGGCTGGCTTATGCAAACAGGTGTGCAAATAGCATAATCTCTGATACCCATCAATATCTGGCAGCTCTTAAATTATGATGTCATCATGCACTAATCTTAAAATGCCACTGAGTTTACATTTTCATTATCTGAAATGGCTCTCTGAATGATTTCATGATCAATAACCAGAGATGAGGAAGAATGTTGCACACGCTGCACAGAGGCTTTAATTCATCTAGACTTTGGTAAAGCCAAGAAGTTTTAAAGAGTATAAAGGAAGAACAAAAAGACTGAGGAAGAACAAAAAGACTGAGAACCAGACTTTTTCATTGGTTAAGACCATACAATTGAGACTGGAAGTCCTTGGTTCAAAGGTCTGCTCAGCCATAAAAAATAATTGGGTGATCATCAACTCTCAGTTTAATTTTCCTCCCTGATTTGTTGTCGTAATAAAAGATGTGTGCTTTTTTGCATGTGAGTGGGCCTAAAACATCCCACGACAGGATGAGACAGGATGAATTTGTGTGGTTTAAGAGATGGTGGCTCTTCATTCACAAATTCATAAGGGATGGCACTGAGCTAATAGCTTCATACTGATGATGATCTAAGGCAGGGGTGTCAAACTCACATCATCATGTGACGTATCAGAACATCCTTTCCCCTTCACTAAACCAGGTGTGGCCATCATGGAACATATCTGGCCATGAGCCAGGAGTTTGACAGCCCTGATCTATGGCATACATCTTACAGCATCTTGAAAAGGTCACCTATAAGAATAAGAAAGGCTAACCTTAGCCAAAAGACTGATAATAAGCTAGGTCTTTCGATTTAAATTAATCTTTCTTATCCTGGTTTTTTTTTTTCAAATATTCATCAGCATTCCCTGGGTGATGGGACTCGTGATCTGATATTTTGGCTTATCTAGCCTGGAAAGCATTGGTTTGGGAAGACCAAATTAAGTTGTGCATAAGAGCTAAAAAGATCTGCCTCTCAACCATGGTTTTGGTACTTTTTTGTGAGATTTTTCACAGTATCCAATATTATTTTTGGCTCTGCTAATAGTCAGGTGTCAATCAGCTAGGTCTTACTACAGTCTTATGCTAGAAGTTCATGATGAGACTCCCCCCCCCACTTGGCAGGCCTTTCAGCTTCAGGGAGGGGGGGCCACTTGT